GTCTAAAGATCCAAAAGCCAAAAAATGACCTGATTTGCCAAAAAACGCATCTCCAATATATGATTGTGCTATAATTCTATGAAGCCAACCAGACCATTATTTGGCCAAAGAGGCATCAGGCTAGCCGAACGTAGCCCCCCCTTAGCCCTTTTTTGGGCCCAACTCTTTAGTTGCAATAATTTTCAAATTTAACAACTGGATTTGAAAACATTCAAAGGTAGTTTAATTCAATTAACCAATAAATTTAAAGTATAAACTAAAAACTAAGAAATTATTGAGGAGACTATATTTAACTTATTCGATTGGAGATGATATATGAGTATGACTTAATACTGTTCATTTAAAAATATTTTTTTTGTAAGGTTATAATTTTAGACGACGCTATAATTAACCTTTTCGGTTAAAGATCACCTAAGAAACTTTGAGTTCATTCAATATCCCAATTATCTCTCCGACTACGGCACAAACATACATCGCACTCCATTCTCAAAATTCAGCATCTAGGACCTTCCGTCATGGATCCAACCATTTGATTCTCGAGTCTTGAGTTCGATTGCGGATGAGTCCAATCCCCGGAGCCCTTAGACTGCCCTCGGGACCTACTAACCCAAAATTCAAGCCTAACTTCAAAAAATTCAATGAAGCTTTACTACAAACTTGCTTTAAGAAAAATAAAAACATTTTCAAGATCCACATAAAAATAAAACTTAAAAAGTTACGGAAACAACTTTTAAATAGTTTCAATTCTCTTTTTATTTGAAAAAAAAATGAAATCATTTATCAAAATAGTTTCAAATTTTCAATTCTTATGAATGAAAATTAAAAGCTAAAAATTGAAAGAAAGAAAAATCAACATTTATGAATATTTTCTTTACCAATTCCTAATATCACAAAACTATTGAACCTGAAGGTTTCAATGATGTTACTATGATCCTATATTTTACTCATGCTACGTTTGGATGAAAAACTTTAAAATCCAATGAAATTTTGGACTCAATTTGAAAAATGCACAACAAGAATAGTACCAAATTACTATTGAACTTCAAATTCATTACCAAAACATGACAAATACTATTAGAGGTGTCGTTTGAAAGTTCCCTCAAATTTGTTGTGTTCAATCACTTTCGAGTCATTCTATGTTCTTCCACCTTACATCACATTTTAATATTTTCAAATACTTTCAACTAATCTTTTAGTATTATACGAAATTAAAAACAAAATTATTTTAATTATTTTATTCAAAAAATAATAATATTTTAATACAAATTGCCTAGACTATTCAGTTTAAGAGTAGAGATGCACTTGGGTAGTTACTGTTCATTAAAGATAGTTACTATTCACTTGGAGGGTTTGAATTGCCTATTGCCCAAGGGCTTTTTAGGGCTGGAAGTGCTCTAAATAGCTGGTATGTTTTAGCGATTTATTTTAGTTGGTAAATTTCTCTGTCACTCACAAGTGACTTAATTCGTGATAAGTAAGAAAGAGAGATTAGATTGTTAAGTTTCCTTTCACTAAAGCCCAAACAACTTATAGTGATTCATATCGAGCTTTGTTGTTTAGGCTTTTTCATTCGTATACTGAAACGGCATAGTTGGCGATGACATAGTACTGCTCTAGATTTGGGAAGACGTTGATGTTTTGGCTGAGGGAAGGGAGAAGAGAGAGGAGACAGAAGCCAGAGGGAGAGGATATAGAACTACCAGGTTTTATAACACCGTTGTAACTTAAGTTCAAATTTTAATCTCGTTCGTCCATATAAAGCTAACTGTCTTCATTTACATGTGTAATGTGGACCAGAAAAAATTTGGCCTTATGGGTTCCTACTTGGGCTGACAAATTTGAGGGCTACGTCCTTTCCAAGTAACAATCCAATTGGAGATTAATGAGGAATACAATCCTGTACAAAATCAAATTAAAGAGTCCCAAAAAGAGTAAGAATCCCTAAACAACATTAAAGCAAGGGAATTGTTATTAGCACTTCAAAAATCTCATTCTACACTCCAAACTTTCTATATTAGGAAAGAAAAATACACTTGTGAGAAATGTAGAATGAGATTTTTGGAGTGCCAATAATACTTCCCTAAAGCAAAACCTATTGTTTCCTATCCGTAACCTCATTGGTTCCCAAAAAAAACTTGCCAGATATATTCTGATTTGTATACCCAATTGGTTACTTGAAGCTCAAGTAAACAGCCCAGAAACCCTAATCGTTAGGTCCCTTTTAAACTCTCTCAGTCTTTCCTTCCCTTCTTCCAAACATTACCAGCTTGTGAATCTACATGCAATCGGCTAAGAATTTTTTTCCCTTTTACTCTCCTAAGGAAGATATGATCTCGGGAGAGAGATATACGTCAGTCATGGTTGATCAATACTCTGAAGACCCCAGTCACGAAGACAAGAGATGGCTACGACGACTGAGGGTGCTAATCTTCTTCTATACCTAAAACGCAAACTTTTGAGTGCCGAAACAGGCCGAAAATTGGAGTACATGAAATACAAAGTTCTTTCTCAAAATGGGTTGTATTCGTATGCAGGAACCAAGAGAAAAGCACCACGAATCGAAGTGGATGAAGCCCCGCTACCCCAAGGAGCCATTAGTGGTCCTTCTGCACCCCAGGAAGCCATTGAGGGTGCTTCTGCACGAGGACGACGCTTGCCGGGAGAACCACAATTACAAGTAATTCAAGGCTTGTTCTATGGAAACTATGCCCCTCCTGATCTCCCACCAGTCCCAAATCTACGGCCCTTAATTCAAGTTCACAGCAAGCCTTTTGAGAAACAACTGACAAGTAGTGATGTGAGGGATGACCAATCTAGGCTTTCTATGTGCAAAGAAGATGTCGAAAATCACATCTTCCCGCTGTTGAAGGACGACGAAGACCCTAACCAAGGCATTCCTGTAACAACTTATGACATGGGCGGTAATGAGTACCCTATGGTGTTCAAAACTTGGGTTTCCAAGACTCATGTCCTCACTGGAGGTTGGAAAAGTTTTTGTCACGATCGCGGATTGGTTGAGAAGATTGATTTTGTGACGGTGTGGGTTTTTCGGAATGCGGTGAATGGAAGCCTTTGCTTTGCCATCAATTCAAGAAGGTTTCCGGCCGTGTCTGAAGCCATCAAGAAAAGAAGAAGGCAGAACTGAGACCGTGGACCGCCGTTAGGTCTGCATATATATATTGTCCTTACTAAGGTTTGTTGTAGGGGTTTTTCTTCATATTTTTTATATTGGGCATAAGGACCAATTAATTAGGGTTCTTTTGATGTTTAGGCATGCAAATGTCCGTAATTAATATGTGTTTGTTGGTTAATTGCTTTTGATTTCGTTAATAGTATTTTTGTATGTTGGTAGTTTCTTCTAGTTCATATATCATATAAGTGCTTCATAATTTTGCAATTGCAAGAGTAGAATTTTGGACCATGTTCTTATTGGTCCTGCCATTAAGTAATGGGAAATGTTAGGGAGATGGTAGACGTTATTATGCAACCTCCCTAATAAAGGTGAGAACTATTTGTATAGCTGATACTGCTTCTGTTAACGTAGTGGTACAATGTGATTTATTGAAATATAATCTTCCTAACATTACCCAAAATGTGTATGCCTCCCATCAAGAAATAAACTTTTATTAGATTTCATGGGGTTTTGATTTTTCACATCAGTCGTTATGTACATAAAAGAACACTACACACCATATGAGAGAAACTTTCATGCCTTGGTGTGATTGCCTACCTTTTCTATTAGGGGTGGATACGGTCTGGTTCGGCCCGGTTCCACTTTTAAACGGGAATTAGAACTGAAAAATATAAAGGGATTTTTTTCAAATCTTCTTCTACTTCCAATACCAAACACATATTTCAACAACAAACTCAAGCAAATTTGAGTTCCCATTACTAGATCTACAAGATTTGTGACTGGAAGATAGAAAGTGTACATAAAAATATAAATCCTAATCAATACCAAAGTGTACATCCTAAACTGACATTATCATTGTTCTAAAAATCCCCGTCTAGCGCTGCCTAGAAGCCAGGTGGTTGGCTACCGTCCTGATTAGTCCCTAGGTGTTTGAAAATGAAGAAAGCACGCCTAGTCCTGCTTAAGCGTTCACCTAGCCCACCTAAAACCACCTAGCTACCCGCCTATGTCACAATTCTCACTTAGACAAAAAATCAATAACGTTCATTTTGCATTTTATTTTGTCTATAAAATGTAAGAGACTTGTTGAATCTTTGAATGACCTCTCATTATATGCATGTTCCACATATTTTCAATATGTTTTGATGCTTTATAATTTATGTCATTTTATTTATTAATTTATGTATCCTAATAGAATTATGTATTAATTTTAAGTATAAATAGACACCTATATAGTACAATATATAATAAATTTACTTAAATTTGGCTAGGCGCTAGTCCCTAGTCCGTTGCCAGACTACCGCCTAACGTCTTTTAGAATCTTGGAAATTATAATGTACATAATGCATGATATACTAAAAAAGAATGAAGAAAAATAAACAAGGGAAGAGAAGTGAAGTATATCTGGCTTATGCACAAGACCTTCTTGGGAAAATGGCTATTTATATGCATAAAAAAATTAATATTAAAAACAGTTTAGTCTCGTTCCTTCAATTCTTAGTATTTCCAAATTGGAAGCGATGAGACGGTCCAATTCAATTTTTGTTTCGATTTTGACTTTTGGTTAACACAACTTTTTATTGATTTTTTTTTATAACTAACCAATTAAATTCTCCCGCTCGGCAATTTTTATGCCCACCCCTACTTGCTCTCTGCGGTATCATTGAGAGATAGGAAGGGTACGACAACGGCATTGGGTAGGGACATATTTTGGTACGACAACGGCATTGGGTAGGGACATATTTTTACATCATATAGATTATAGACTGCAAAACAATAGGCCTGAATATCATTCTACCCACTCCTAAAAGTACAATCATATGGAAATTGTAAAATTACTTGATCTAATTTTCAGACTTTCAAAAAATAGCACAAGTGTGGCATACATTATCAAAATGATCAAGATCGTACATTGTCAAATAAATTCATCTACAAACTTATCAGTTATAAAACATCTTACGATGCGAAAAAAGCAAAAATTTCTGTGCCACAAAAAATGATCAAACAGATGAGTTCCGAGCTTGGAGAGCTTCTTGTAGGCAAATGACGGCACCATCATAATTTAAGAATCCCATAAACCAGAACTCATGGTTATCAACCGAGATAACCTGAATGTACTTTTCAGCAGGGTTCGATCTGCTTGACGATGGATTGACTGCTTTAAGCTGATGTAACGGTATAACCACCTATTATAATTCTCGTGTCAACGGAAATTAGTACAAATAACAGTTAACAACTCGTTAACCAAAATATGACTCACTCTAATACACCACATATGATCGAGAGCAAATAAACAAAACATGTCAATGATATATTCTTAAAACTCCCGAAATAAACCCAGCTCTCTAATTTCCTTCTGCCAATGCAATCTGCAAAGTTGTTCCTCGTCTTTCTTTTCACAACACAACATGTACAAAAGTACAAACATGATACGACTACGGAAATATTACCACCAGCAGTTGTTGTGCGACTCAGAATATTTTGCTAATACATCTTCATCAAGAGTCAAGAAAATTATATAAGGGAGAACAAGCATACGAAAACAGAGTATAATTATTTACCATAGCTTCCCTACACCGTGGTAATTATTTCCAGGTTTTGTTTACAATGCCAAGTGAATTCACTTGCTAATCTAGCCAGAACCTTCAATAAGGTTGATTACTAATGAAGATCACAAGTCCACTTAAGATAACAAAAATACCGAACCAAACTATCAAAGCAAAGGGCCTCAAATTCTACAACACAAATCATGTTGAAAATTAAAGTTGAGCTGATACAGTTAATCAGTTAATGTGAGACTAAACAATCTCATAAACTTGCTCACTGAAGTATAAATCAAGGCTGAAACTCATGAACATTTTTTTCGCTATACATAGGGCTAAGCCTAAAAATGAAAATACTCAGCTCAGCACTTGCCCAACTATATGTAACATCTTGAAAACTTTCGGTGAGAAAAGTTGAAATGGACGAAAAATACTTGCAGTGCAGAGGTTTATAAATTCCGAGAGAATTACATCAGAACCAAATTATACACCTTATGTGTCAGATATTAAGTGTTGATACTGGCCTACCAATGTCGAATCTATTTCCCTTCACTACTTAGTTGCAGTCACCATCAAATTAGAACACAACGGGGAATTTCCCTCAGATGTCTAGTGGCACGATTTTCTACTATGAAAAACTACCACGATTTGCTAATTTGAAAAACTATAATCAGTCAATAACGCAGCCCTTAAAATAGTTGCTAGTTAATTGAAATCCCATATTTGGAAAAGTTCAAAAGGCACAAAAGTAAGGCATGTGCAAACTTACCTTGTAATAGCTCCATTCAGTTTGGCTCTCAGCTTTGTATGAGATGGGATTATCACTGCAGTAGGCAAGCTTTGCAGTAGAAACATATAAAACTCCCATGACTGGACCAGCTGATGTGGACAAGTAACATGCAAATGAATTTTGAAGTTGCTCCTCGGGAGTTGTCTCAAAGGTTGATCGAAAGATCTTCTCGTAACCACCTTCTGCTAGAACCTTTGTTCCTTGTGCAATTCTTCCCATGGCAGCATCAGCAAAACTGGGGCTTGTTTTTACTAGTTTGAAGGAAACAGGATGATTAGTGCCTTCATCCATCACAACCAATGTTTAGGATCAACAAAATACACAAACTAAAATATAGAAAGAGGTAAGATAAACAGAGAAAACAAAATCGGGGAGACCAAGGGAGATTGCAATCTCGTTTCCTCTTACGAAAGCAGACTTTTCTGGGCATTCAGTGTGAACAAAACAAAAGCTTTTGACGGAATTAAGTTCAAATGGTTAGAAAAACTGGAGGCTGGTACTAAAAACCACAATGTACTGAACAACTTTCAGGCACCTGGCGATAAGCATTTTACAAGAATTTTCAGCAAATCTTCCTCACAAATTTTGAACTTTCAATTCTCATGTCAATCAAAAGATCTACCAAATAAAATTAGCACACACACACCACACCTATACTTTTACTTAAAAATAACCAAGGAAGCCGAATTCAAACCTAATCTTAACACAAATCCCATGATTAAAATTAGGGCTATACTAGGGAGACCAAATTTTTAAACCAAATTTACAAACCAAATGATTTGCCACCAATAAGAAATAAGTACGTTAACCAACACTTAAGTAATAATCAATTATCAACTTCATTTGATTTACAAAATTTAGTTTAGAAATTTGGTCTCCTAGCACAACAACAACAACAACAACAACAACAACAAAGCATTTTCCCACTAAGTGGGGAGAAATTTGGTCTCCTAGCATTACCCTTAAAAATATATACGTTAAAATTAATTGAAACGAAGTAAATGAGCTGAGATTAACAGGAAGAAGAAACAAAAAGGAAGCAGAAACTCACAGTGCTGCCACGTGTTTCCGGCGAGATCCTCCGCCTTCTTCGTAGCTTCCCCCACCGACTTCCTCCACCTCCCAAACACGTTCCGCACAGTCTCCACCGAATCTAACCATGCACGCATACACAACAAATACGTATCCACAATCTTCAAACATATATACGAATCCAAACAAGGACAAAAATACGGAAGCACAGATACCGACCTTTGAATGAGAGAGATTGTGAGAGCGTAGGGGAGGGGGCCACGTAGGTATTGGATCCCTGATGGGAAGAGTGATCCGACGATGCAGCGTGCGACTCGGACACCAATTCCGGGCTCCAACGAACCGATTTCTTCGACCCGTAACCCGTGGGAGTGGAGAACGCCTCCGTCAGAGTCGGCTGAGCCTGAGCCTGCGAGCCCATCACGAAGCTCGCCCAGTTCGCATCCCCGTTCAGGGCTTCGGCTGCAGACTTCGGGGTCGGATCCTGGGCGGCCGGAGTCTGCGTTTTGGAATCGGCCTCGGCGGTGGGCTTGGGCGGGTCCATCGTTCGTTCTAGAAGATTCCGGTGCTGACGCGGGATCGAATTGGCGCGTGGTGATCTGGTTTCTCTGTGTGTGTGATTGATTATTTAGTTTTCTTCTTTTTTTTGTTATTTTTGTAGGTGGAATTTGTAAATTCGAGTTTTGAAATGGAAGAAATTGGGATTATTGGAGGGACGCGTTTAGCGATAAAGAACTTGACGTTTTAGGACATGGACCCTCCGTTGACGGGAGGCTCTTCCTATTCTCCTCTCTCTGAACCGCCACGTGTTTTTTATTTTTCTTTACCGTGATATTTAGGATGTGCTATCCACACACCCATTTTTACTTCTTACACACTTCTTGTTACTTTCTGTCCTTTGATATTCTTCATTTCATTCGATCCGACGACCGAAAATTAGAAAGATGTGTGAGAAGTAAAAAATGGTATGTGGATATCACACCCCATACTTTATTAGCAGAACATTTTTGTTCATCATTCTAAACTTTTTGGTGCATGTTCACCGTACAACTTAGGGGTGGGCACGGGCTTAAATTTGGAGGGACCGGATCGGACTCGCTTTAAATCGTAATGGGACGGGCCAGGCTTGGTGATAAAATTTTTGAATCTAGAATCAGACCTGATTCAGCCCGTTTGATACAGGCAATTTGGGGTGGGTCCACTTACTTTTTTTTTTTTTTTTTTCAAAGAATTGATTGTTGGATCCATTTAATTTTTTTTTTTATTAAAACAAAGTACATACTCTACTGCATCATCCAATTTTTATTTTTTTTTTTCATCTTAGAAATTTGTAGATCCAAAATTCCAAATAACATAAAAAATCCAAATTTCCAAGATCCAAAATTAAAACCGAGTACAAAGCCTACTGATTCTAAGATCCAAAACTTCAAATAACATCAAAAATCTAAATAACATCGAAAGTTTAAGGTCTGAACATGAAAATAATAACATCCAAAACAACAAAAAATAGCATCTGAGACATCCAAAGTCCAAAGATCAAATTAACATAAAATGAAATCCGTAATAACATCCAAATTAATATCTGAAATGACTTCCAATTTTTGGGTGATTTATGGTAGAAGGACGACACCCTTCCTTGTGACCTCTCTCTAACTACAATTGAGGAAGAAACATATGTGATCATTAGAAATGAGAGATTAGAAGCATATTACATAATCAGTACTTGCATGAAATATATTACATGATTAGTATAACAAATTTCATAAACATAAAGAAAGCCAACAAACTTTTCATTATTGGCTTTGCTCAATAATCTAGTCAATTCCAATTGGGGGTTGAAAATCGAAACCAATAATGGATATCAAATAATCTTCACTATTGCTTTGACTTACAAGCATCAAGATTGCAGGTTCAATTACCAATTTTATTTCAAAAATCAATATCTTCAAAAAATTGTAACAAATTTAAATACCAAACAATTTAAAATCTACAATCTATAAGCAAATACATAAAATTCAAAACCAATCGAAAAGTTTCAGCAAGTAATCAAATCATAGCAGTCCATATAATGAATCTAAAAGCTTATGCAATCAAAGCCCCAAAAAACCTAAATTCCCAAACCAGAAACCCACATAATTCCTAAATCAATTGAAAATCTTATGCAAAAACCCTAAATTCCTAAATTAGAAACCCTAATTCATAAATTACCTAGGGATTTGCAGGATGATGCTAGTGTTCTCAATGGCGAGGATGGTGTGGTGGTGGCCAGAACTCGCGATTGGAAGGATTGGAGGAGAGTCAGGAGACGATGCCACGATGGTGATGGTGGCTAGCTGCTGTGATGTCGACACAGTCGAGGTCGACTCAGTCACCATAAGTCTCAGGGAGTCAAGTCAAGTAGGGGTAGGAGGGAGAATGAGAAAGTGGGGATAGTCAATGGATGGAGATGGGCGCCTTATCGAGGTCTGAGATGAGAGATGAGAGGAGATGCGGGGAGTGGAAAAGTCTAAGTGCAATCGAGGTCTGAAAGACAAACTCTCTGTATGTTTTAATGCAAAGATTTGATCAATGAACCAGGTTAAATCTCGGATTTTTGGACATGGAAACGATCCGGGTCGGGGACCCGTTTCCTCAGTAATTAGGACTTGCCCTGTCCCGTTCCGTTTCAGATTTAAAAAAATTGGACCCGCCCTGTACCCGCCCCGAACCGCTTGGACCCACCCATACCCGAGGGTCCATGCCCTATTTGCCCACCCCTAGTACAACTAATCATTTGTCATGTCTCTTCTCACTTAACCTTGAATAACTTTTTTCAAAATTAAAAAAGTAGCATTTAATGTGAAAGTTAACTAGAGTTAAGTAAAATGACACATGACAAAAGATTAAGTGTAACCATACACTATAGTTATGGACACATGGAAAATTCACCTTGGTAAGAATCCTAAGAGGCCTTTAAGGAATGAGATTTCAATTTCTTTTAAAATGGGAATTAGTTGGGAGCTCACATCACATCGAATTTCAACGATTCGAACCGTTTATTTTCTAAGTTGCACCTCTTAGACCATCCTTGCAAACTATTAGCCAAATCAAAAATATTTTAAACATCTAATTGGGTTGAAAGAGCCACGTACTACGGTCTAGTGGTATTCATCTTCACTTGTAAGTGAGAGATATTATGTTCGATTCTCGGCAAAGATAAATTTAAACCACATTATTACTAGCCCATTTCGAGGAACACTTTGTTTTATAAAAAACAATGAAATTTGATCGTGATAATTAACTAGGCAAATGATTTCAGATTGAATTGAATTTTTACAAGAATGATCTATGAATCGTAACTTACAAAATAGACAATTCGAATCATTGAAGTTGATGTAGAATAGGTCCCACAATTATCCTTTATTTTATTTTTTTTTTTCAAAAAGTGAAAATCTCTTCCCTGGTTCTCTTAAAGAGCCTGAGTATAACATATACTATACAGGGAGAAATGTTTTATTTTTAGAAAACATTGTCGCTCTTACATAAATAATGTTATTAATCGGTTTATAATATTAGGTGGACGGAACGAGCAGTATATCTTTTTAGTTTGAAGTCCAAAAAGGGTGGTGGGTTGAGTTTTTTAAGTTTTCTTCTCCAATGCAAAGGTTTAGGCCATAAAAGCTCCACTTCCGGTGCCATATCGTGAATATGTCTATTCACAAAATTTAATTTTCTGTACGTATAATTCTTCAACTACGATGAACCGTAAATTTCTCATTCGACGTATTGCAAATTTAAAATCTAAGAACATGGACAGATAGAGCAATACTTACATACCGGGATTTTCCTGAATTTTCTACTTCAATTTAGCAGATAATTGCGCAAGACTTTTACTCCAAATTGAGCAGATAGATGTATGGTCTTTCTCACGGTGGCATCGCCAATCGCCAAGACGAATTGGAAAATCCAATTCAAACTAGGCTATGTTTGAACAAAGGGACTATTAAAATGTAAGAGATTGAGTTCACGTGAGTCAAGAACAGACCATAAAATGTATAGATGAGGTCAGCAATACGAAGGCGCGTGATTGGGATTTCAAAGGACACCTTTGAAGAAGGGTTTTGCAAGATCTCATATGAGTTTCTAATGTTCATGGAGGACATTGTTAAACCCGTCCGTGTATTTTTAAGGTCCATCTTTTACTTATTTGGACTCAATTCTTTGAAATTTGAAAATTCCTGAATCAAACATAGCTAAAGAATTGTGTAGTCTTTACGTCCAAGAGGGTTAGGAGAACTCTCATCACAGATGCTTAATAGACTACTAAGTCACAACCTGCCTGTAGTAGTTCATTGGGTTGGGCCTTCGGTGAGAATTGGACAAATGGGCAAGGCGGCACGAGCACGGTACGGGCATGACCCACTTAGATAGGTATGACAAGTCACAATTCGCAAGAAGTGGTCAGGCCGGACTTAAAGATTTAGTCCAAATGGGTCGACTGGCACACGGCCCGCGACCCTGGCCATTATGAATAATCTCATTTATTCATTATTTTTCGTTTACAAACATACGTTTTAAGGTTAGTAAGACTTGGCGTTTGTTTGCCCTCACTAAGTTGGACTGGACTGGACTGGACTAGCTATTAGTCCAATACTGTGTTTGTTCCATGCTGGGACTAACATTAATGAGACTAAAGGGGACTAGCATGGACAAAACCCTTCACTAAGAGGTCTTAGCGAGATCCCCCAATAACCATGGGACTAGCTAAAACTATCCTCTCTTTCTCGTCCTCGTCATGCTCAACGATCATTCTCGACAGACTCCTCGTCATCTCCGTTCACCTAGATCAATCATTAACTTTCCGACTCTTTTTCAGATCCATTTCACAACCAACTTTCATGCAAAATATACCAAATTGAAGCTGGGAGTGACAAGATTACGATTTTACTTGAATCGAGGCCAAAATGTGGTCAAATGTGGTTGGAAAATGGCCTGGAAGTCTCGGCATGTTTGGGCTTCTTCAAATCCATGACAGATTCGAGCATTCAAAGCTAAGATCTCGGTCCAGGGATGGTGATGGATTTTTTGACGGTGCTAACTTCATCCAATTTAACGAGGAAATGGTAAGAAAAAATGAAGAAAAAGATAAGATCATAATAAAATATTAATAATTTATATATTAAATAATATAATATTATAATTTGCTATTATCCAGCTTCTTAGTCCAATACTGCATCAAACGCTTCACTAAGTTAGTCCAGTTTAGTCTAGTCTAAGCCAGTCCAGCTTAGTCTTTGAAGCTAATCCAGTCCGAGATAGTCCGGCGCAACAAACGCCTCCTATGGGTGTGTATGTTTGGGCTTGTCAGGTTTCACTAGATTAGACTGGCTTACTAGTCCGTGTTTGGTTTGATCTGGGACTGTCTTTAATGGGATTAAGTCGGATTTGTTCCGACTAAAGGCTTCGCTACCTCATCTTAGCTAGGACCCCCGAAAAGGATGGGATTGCTAATCCCGACTCTCTAATATCTGCATCGTTTGTGATCTGCAAGCATGCATCGCCAAATCCAGTCACCAAATCTTGCCGTCTCGCTGATCTCCATCATCCCGCAAACCCATCACCAAATCTTGCCGTCTCGCCGATCTCCTTCGTCTCACAAACCCAACTTCCTCTTTGCTTCAAATTGATTCATCTCCCTCTTATGAAACCCAACGAACCCACAGCCCAGATTTCCCTTCTTTGCTTCAAGGAGGAATACCTAGCTGGATTTGCTGTGGATTTAATCCAACGCCAAGAACTG